GTGTGCCACCACATCTGGGACGAATGCAATTCTGCGGGGAGGCGGCTGATCAACCCTTTAGTATTCGCTGTTCAGATCAGCGAAGATTACATCGGAAAAAAGTCACGTCTGGCGAGGAAAGTGCATGCCAGTCAGGCAATTGAGCGAGTGTTGCAACGTACATTGGCAGTGGCGCACATGCATTGGACGAAGTCAGGATTCTTGAAGGGCTGAAAGATAAAAAAGAAAAAAATCTCTGTGCGCGAAGAAGGGAGTGCAAATTGTGGCCATGAAAGGGATGTATATTTAAGTTGATTAATTTCACTGATTTTGCCACATTGGCAAAAACCCATATTTTCAAGAACCTGGTTCTTGAATGAAGAACCTGGATATCGCCCGGGGCCCTACATTTTCTCAAGACTTCGTTGGTTCTGGTTGACCCATATACTATACCTTTCCATGCTTCAAGACCAGCAATAACTTCCTGTCTCATTGATCATCAACAAAAATCCCGATCAAACCGTTCATATCCATGATTCCATTGCTGTAAGACTAGCTGCCAGAATGGCCTCTCTCCTCCAATTCAACGACTCCAGACCTCACTTTCACTCATCGTCCCTTGGTGCTTTCCCCGATCTTCGCCTCCGGCGTGTTGGCACCCGACGGCCCGCAGGACGGCGCCCGCGACGGGCTCCGCGAGTTCTGCGCCGACGGCGCCGCGGAGGGCGCCGCCGACGGCGCCGCGGTGGCGGGCGCCGTGCGCGGCGCGGTGGGGCTTAGGGGTCGGTGCGTACCTCGCGGCGCGGCGGCGGGGGGTCCGGAGGTGTCCAAGGGAGGGGTTTCGAAAGGTTTAGGCATAAAGTTTGGGCGACGGATGGGGTTTGGATGGGGATTCGTCTTGGATGTCGCCAGCTGAGATGATCTATTCTGGGGCTTAGTCCCTTAGCAGCGCGAAATCCGACAGATTGATATGTAGCTTCCAGATAGGTTCGATCATTGGTGAGCCAGGGAAGCGGTCTTTGAAGAGCTGCCTTGTTGATTCATCGTGGAACTGCGCTCCTCGGATCACAGGAAAAAGAGTAGTAAAGAACACCAAAATGAGTAGTAAAAAGAGTAGTAGTAGAAGAGTAGTAAGAGTAGTAGGAAATGAGTTATAAAATGAAATAAATCATGTATATACACCAAACAACAGGGCAGCCTTGCAAAGTGAAGCTGTCAGTCTGTCAGTTGGTTTGTACGCAGGTTCGATGTAGGGTGTAGTTCAGTAGTTCAGTGACACGTCCGTCACATGACACGTTCGGTGTGGGATTTCCTCTTTTGAGGCCCTTTGACTCTTGACCAAACATCACTTGAAACATGCTGCAGCTGGTTGGTGGTTTCAACTCATTTGAAAAGTATTAGTGGATTGAGAGTAGATGGCACAGACCCCAAGAGGTGGTTTATATGAACCCCCATGTAAAGGACATTTTGAGGTCTGCGCCATGTACTCTGAAACCACTGCAGATCTGACTACAATCATCCCAAGTAATAGTGGTTGAACATGAAGACATCTGACAAGAACACCAACCCAACAAAGAAAAGAACACAAAATAAACAATAAACAAGAACTTACCCCACCCATTTTTGGTGCTCCTTCTTTTGTGGTCCTGTGTCTTTTCTGTGCTTAAACCAATCAGGCAGCTATGTGAGCTCCTCACCGTGTCTCTTTTTCGTCCATCTTCTGCCGTGCCACGGGAAGAGACCGACCGCTGGAGGAGGCGGCTGCCTGACGAGCTGAAGTGGAGGACTTAGTGATCCAACGGAGTGGTCCGTTGGGGTGGAATCCTTGCTGTTGAGGAAAGAAAAGACAAACAAAACAACCTGGAATCTGAAAAAGCTCTTGGAGTTTGTGGTGTCTTGCTGGTATCTTGGTGATGCAGGACTATCTGGACACTAGGAGTCAGTCCAACCGCTGGTCGGTTACTCAAGTTACCCAGCTAGGGATGATGGATGAGTTTTCCTGAGAATCCTTGGACCCTGCATGGTAGGGGTCGGACCCTCCATCAAACCTTGGAGGCCACCTGAGGCTGGTCGAACTCTGGACTGGTAAGCTCCGAACGATCAATCGCTCTGAACGGTGATCCACCTCTTCTCTGGACAAGTTCGCTGGAAACGGTTCAGATCCTCCTCGATATGAGGAGAAGCATATGCAGGATGAAGATATGAGCGACCCGGATGCGACCCTGCCGTGCGACCCTGAGTTGAAAACGGTGAAAAGAGCTGCCAGCTGGTATCTATACAAACCATTCTGGGACCGGAGCAAGAAGGTGAGGAGCGATGCCTGGTTGCTTAGGAGATGGATTAGTGTTCCAGGACAACCAAACAACAAGCCTTTAGTAAATCAGTAAATCCCTGGCAAATCCCTGCATTGGGGAACACATTAATTATCATTGTTTGTCACAAGATGTTTGAAGCAGGCGACCACGGCACAATCAATGTCAAATCTGACCTAAGTATTGTATGTTCAAGAAATGCAAAACGAAACAGCCTCCTGCCTACCTCCAACATGGGAAGCAAATGGAAACATGGTGCGACGGTCACAACCTCTGCTGGCCTCCCCCGTGCTAGTTTTTCCCCACCATTCCCCACCCAACAGGATTTTAGATAGACACCCTATCCCATCGTGACCTCTGCTGCAGCGCATCATCCAGAGATAAAGCCAACATCAAAGAACAAACAATGACACACGCACACGCATAATGACCAAAACAAAAAAACACTACTACGGCAAGCAAACAAGAAGCAATGACTCAAAAAAACAACTCTTCCCTATGGATCCAGTCGTACCCTCTGAGGTTCGGTGGGACTGGGGTGGGTGCCAAAACGTCGGGTCCAGGAAAGTACCGAACCTGAGGAGGCAACCTCCTGGATCCCTAGTGGCAGGATCTGTACCTCTTTCATCCTCTTTCTACTGTCGCTTCGGTTCTACCGTCGACCCTCACCGGTCGCCCCCCGGACCTGGCGGTCGCGCACGGCGTCCTTTTTGCTCCGATGGTGTCCGCCCTCTTCGATACGTCAAGAGACCGATGTCTTGGTCGGATGGGTCGGATGGGTTGAAGACTGGAAAACGGTGCCCTATTGGTGCCCTAATATGCCGGACTTTTTGACTAATTGTCACTGGCTAAATGCTCATCATGTCTTTCTCTTGTCTTAGTTGAGATGATCCTTTTTTGGTCCACAAAAAGGTCGCTAGCGGTAGCGATTTCCTCTGTCGCCAGATGCAGCGAATGGGCGTGGATCAGTGGTTCCCAGGGAGACCTGCAAACGGCATGGGAGACCGACCTCCAGCTGATGGGGTTCATGCACTACAGCGTTCACTCATTTGATAACAAGCCCTATGGATCCAGTCGTACCCTCAGAGAAGGTGTTTGGGGTGGGTTTGGAGGGTCCAGTCGTACCTTTTGAGGAGGTACGCCTGGATCCCTAGGGAAGGATCTGTCTAGTGCTTTCCCAAATAGGAGAATCAAACCAGACAGAATTAGTGCACTAGACAGATCCTTGTCTAGTGCACTAGACTTTTCTGAATTTTGTTGATGGGTTTCAGACAAAATTCAGAAATAGGAGAATCAAACTCATCAATCAAACGAGGGCACCGGAGAATTTCTTCAACCCTGGAATTCCAGGGGCACACAATGTTCATGTCCAGAAATCAGCACAACCAGGGATGTATAATACCCAAATCTGATGATGTTGACTCCATAACAGGGGATTTCGGATAGCTTCTGAAGATAACCTATTCCAAACATGACAAACAAACCGCGCTTCAACCCTCCGGAAGCCTGTTCGGTGCCTTAGGCAACCTGCTCACTTTAACCGCGTCGCACGGGCGGCGACGGGCCGTGTCACTGCCGTGTCAGGCCGTCCTGGGCTGCAGGAGCGCGGAGCTCGAAAAGAGGGGTTCACAGGAACTGCGGAGGAGGGGAAGCCAGAAACCAATGGCTGGATTGAGTAATGAATTGAGTAATGAATATTTCTCACGTGAGAAGCAAAACAATGAAACATGGTCTATAGGCTTGAAAGGTGATCGTGTGAGGTCGTGAGGTCTTACATTCGGCGTGACGCTGCTTCCTCTGTCATGTGTCTTTGACTTTCGTTTTGCAGGTCATGTCGTTCTTTTTTGTTATTTTTGCATGTGTTTGGCCCGGAGAAATGAGCCTTCTCCCATCCGGCCAATACACGACCTGTCCTGCACAAGAACGAACCTGCTCGTCCGTCAAGTTCACAGGTTTGATGCAAGAACGGATCTCCACAGGTCGGTTTGTCCATATGTCGTTTCTTCGATTGGCTTTCTCCAGTGGATGTTCAGTGCCAAAAATGGACCACCAGTACAGTACAGTCAATGCAGCGAAGCAAACATGATCATGTTTCCTGTGCGTTGCGTTTTGGTCCCCCTTTTTGGTCCCGTTCACCAGGTCTATACGGTCTTTTTTTTGGGTATCGGCCCGGTCTACACGGTCTTTTTTTTCGGTATCGGTTCGGCGCGGGGGGGATCTGTGGGAGCTCCCCCTCCCTTTTTGGGATTCAACGCTCTAATGCTCCAAGTCTCAAACAAGGCATTAACACTTCCACGCCTGGCCCGACTGTCGGGAAGTTCTTTCTGACCAGGGTATATGGTCGGTGCTCTAACTGGAACTTTTAAAAAACATAAATAGCACCTGTTCGCTACTAGGAACAAGTGTAACAAGTGCCTTACTAGTAGTAACAAGAAGCAATTAATAGTACCTGAACAAACCCACGCCTCTCTGGCTTCGACACATCGAGATGCAGAGAAGAATCAGGTCGAGGAGAATCCTGCTCCGCTATAAAGCTTATCAAACTCAAGGTTGCCGAGCAACCGAAATCGTGAGAAGAGAAGAACGTCTGGATATTTCCACGCACTGAACGCTCTAACAAGAACTGCCAACAACTCAATGGATTCTCCACCCAGTGGGTCTCGCACCACCGCAAAGCAAACTCCCTCAGTGCACGAGAGAACTCAGTGCCTACGCAACCAGCACGGCGATGGCGCAAGGAAGGTACCACCTGTCACGCCGCTGATAGCTGGGGAGGAGTGAGGAGTGCAGCTATGGGTCAATGCGAGGAGACTGACCGGAAACCATGGCATATAGAGTGACCTGTCGTGTGGACCGAAAAGGAGGTCATTCGAATGACCTGTTGTGAAACCGCAAGGCTCCAAAACTGAGTGACCCCCTGGGAAAGCGGGCCTAAGTGATTGGCAAGATGCTGTGATTCATTTAAAGACCACCAACATGAAGGTATAAAATGAATGCAACAATTGTGGACCTGTCAATTGAGCACAGTACGAGAGTTTGCTACCAACCAAAAACATCATAAGAGAGTAAAGGGATTGCTCCATGCATTCAGTCTTCCCCCAAGATTAACCTTCCGATTTGAAAACAGCTCCTATTTGGAAGACCCATGTCCTCCTGGACCGCCCAGTGGGGCGAATCCTCTCAAAGTCTCGGCCATCGCTCTTGGGTTGGCACCGCTCATGTCTAATGAGTGGGCCGGACGAGTCTCCAAAAGTCTTCGCCAAAGAATGACAGAAACACCCAAAGTCTTCGTGTTCCGTTTTGGACCCGTTTTTTGGCTCAATCAGATCCAACCATATCTTTTAGCTCAGGTTGGAGGCCATTCATATCGTTAGGTCTCAAACGCCCTCCGATCAACGCCTCGACGTCCGGTGCTGCGCCGGTCGCAGCTTCGACGCACGGGCGGGCCTGACTCTGCACGCGTCAGTGGAGGCACTGACCTGGTTGGAGGTCGTGGTGGGTGGAGCGGCCCGAAGTCGGTGTGGTACGATGTTTTGCACGGCAAGCTATACCAGCAAAGGTTGAAGAACCCGAACTAGACTATCCTATAGATAGCCCTGGTGACGGGTCCTAGTTCACTGTCCACCTCTGGTAGGGCAAACAGGGGGGTATTTACGGCAAGTATAGGCACATCTGGGAAAGCTATAGCCCAAATGGATTGAAGAACCTCGTCATATGAGGGGTCGGGTTGACATATAATCAAGAGTCTATTTCTAAAACATATCCCAAACACTCCATGTATGGCATATTTACCTATATTGGGGTGGTTTGGGGGGTCAATGTAGGCATATATGGCATATTACATGGAGTGTCTGGGTATACTAAAACTTCACTCATTCTTCGCTTCTGCCCCATCTTCCAGCATTTTCTGGAGTCCCTGAGAGTCCGAGTCATCCCAGGTCCCTTGCTTTCTCGGGGCGACATGCCACTTAGGCACGGGTTTGTAGTCCTCGCCACTTACGGAGGACACCATAGGAAACTAATGGAAACCATCTATCCCGTATACACTCCGTATGCCACTCATATATACATGGACCCCTAAATATGCCAGGCATCGAGTGTCTGGGATAAGGAAAACCAAGGATTGACACCACCATTACTCTCTGACCGATTGGATTCTCCAGCCGTAGCGTCCGTGAGCGAAGCCGAGCGATGAGCGAATCCTGGCAGCGAACACGACCTCTTCACTGTTTGGTCAAAACACGCATGTGTAATTATTACATGCATGCTGTTACATGTCGACTGTCCGTAGACTCAAATGAAAAGGTAGTTATTATGGGACCAGGACATATGGTTCGCCTCCCTACCAATCAAGTAGGCAGGCTTAAATTATAGAATAGGGTTTACATATTATATGGTTTACATGGGTGACTTCCATCACACCGATGGAAGGGGCGTCTTGTCACATCAAAGCCCCTTTTTGCATTGGCGGATTTTGGGCACTCGGAACTATGACATGGCACAGGAAATCACTATGGCAGCACTGAGGAACAAGTGGATGGCATGGCCCCGAGTTTCTTTAGACCAATCCAGCTACCACCGTGGGGTGAACTCACTCAAAAAGCGTCTGTGAGGGCCGTGCGGTGCCACCGTCACGTACTGGGGAACCCGGGCTGCCACGTAGCCCACCTTGGAAAAGGCAAAGGAGGTGCTGTCAGTCCATGATGTGCATGAAATACCAACACCATTGACCTGAATTCATCCCAATTGCAACTGTTCCTATGTCATTTAGGCACGGTGCCCCTGTGTCTGGTCAAGAGAACCATGCCAACTGAGGGACCTGCTCACTCATGGTTCCACTGTGCAGCGCTGATGTGGGCAGTATTGAATACATGGAAGTGGAGTGAAAACCCCCTTGTTCGTAAAGGAAAGCCGTCTTCCGAACTCGGGGCTATGCCATCAACTTCCATGTTCGTAAAACAGAGGGCAAGCAATGCAGCATGGTAGCAAAATCATTTCCAACACCATATGAGTTGAGTCCAAGACGTGGTGAAACGCCCTGCGAACCGCGCGAACCATCCACCACGCGATTTTTTGGCACGATACACGATCCAAACCGAACAGGAAGTGCTCCGAACATCAGATGTTTGGAACAAGGTGTTCCCTTCACCAGGAAGAGTGGATGCGTTTTTGAGCCACGCCCATATATCTTCAGGGTCCATGTTCAACCGACCCGCCGTGACTCAGAACATCCGTGGCTCCCTGCGCTCTGGTAGAGACGATTGCCTGTGGACGTCGTCGTCTGGGTGACCTCGAGCAGCAACTGTTACTAGCTTTTGCGTGTTGCAAGGCCCGAGCAAAGCTCTAAATATTTGGAATCAACATAAATCCCTGGTGGCACAGAACATGACACATGGCAGCTCTCTGTAAAGCCAACAGACACATTAACGGGGGACCATCTAATTACTTGAGATTCTGAAAGCTGGATTTTGACCAGAATAATCACTACTACAGGTCCACCTCACCAGGTCTTGGAAGTCCGGCTCAGGATGCGGCTGTGGTGCTGCTTGAGATTCTGGGAAATTTGAGACTAATCGCGGTGAGGCTGGTGGTTGCAGTGCAAGACGTTGTAGTGTTGCTTGACGTTCTACTGCTGGTAGTAGTGCTATCGAACTCCGTGGTCGTGCTTGGCATTGTGCTCGATCTTTTGCTGGCTGAAATGGTTGTCCAAGAAGTGCTTGTTGTGCTTGCCATTGTGCTCGCGGTCCTTGGCTTGGCTGAACCTACACTCCAGAACCTTGGCTTTCTAGGAGCAAGAACATCAATGGTATCTGCTTATAGGGATCCTAAGGGGTTCATCTGCTTCGTGCGTCTTCATCTGCGGGTTCATGGCATGGTCCAACGCTTTGCCTCTGAAGATAGCGCTTTGTGTTGGACCAAAATCAGTCAGTCTCTTTGTCACCACCATCAGTCAAAGTACTCTCCCGACTCTCCAAACATGGAGGAAAACGCTCTTCCAAATCCACCAAAACATGTTTGTTGGAGGTGGTTTCACCTTTTTTGGTGAGCTTGGCCTGAACCGAACGAGACGCATGTGAGAATTGTTCGATTACAGTACTCAATTGCACAAGGCAAATAACATAAGCAAACCAGAAAAACAAAAAGAAAGACCATCGGATCCAGGTGTCACTTGGCTCGTCGCTGTGCCACTGGGCTCGATGTCACCAGTGCCAGTGCCGGAGGTAGTGGTTGTGGTGGTTGCAGTCGTTGCGGTGGTCGTTGTGCTGCTGGTGCTCGTCTGTGTGGAAACCTCCAGTGTGGAGCCCAATACATGATCCAAGTGACCTCTGGGTGGACCAATTACAAATGACACTTTAGCATACTTTAGCTGGATCTACTGATTGGATTTTTCCACCTAAATCTCTAGCTGCACCATATATATATATATATATATTCACGCATTCTACACTGCCACAAAGCATCCGAAAATAGAAGTGAGTCCTGTCACACCTGAATGTATCTGAATATAAGAAGAAGCGGTTTGGACTTTGGATCTCTTTGGAGACCCGAGGATCTTTGCTCTCGCGAGCCTATTGCGAGACCTTTGGAGCCCCGCCCGGTAGATCAAAGAAATGACTCAACGTTCTGGATTCGGTTTTTGAGCACCTGGTCATAAGCTGGTCACCTGGTTTTGGCTGTTTGGCGAGTGATGTGGTGCTGTTGCCCTGGTGCTGTTGGCTGGCTGCACGCCCTGGTCCGACATTGGAATAACCAGTCAACTTGGGATGACGCCAGGTGGTGATGCCATCCACGAAAGCATGAGGATTCCAGGGAACATGTAGACTCTTAGATGAATAACCCTCCCAATCTATATTACTGAGTCCAGGATCTAGGAGGGTTATGTAGAGGATTGATAACCCTCCAGGCTTATGTAATGAATAACCCTCCCATATGAAGAGGATTGAGTCTACATTACATGCATCAAAATCTGAGTGCAGGGCAGTGTGAGTGTGACTGCCCGTTGTGGTGGCCTCAGCAGTGAATCGGATCATGTTTGGTTGGATCAAAGCCATTGGCTGGTGCAACCTAATGTAGACCGTTGGTTGCTTAGACCCCGTCAGAGATATGAAATATGAATAAACACATGGAAAGTGGGAGGTTGGCTCCCCAAATTGTCAATCATCTACTTTGACCAACTGCATGGTGTTTTCCACTGGCCCAATATGTCGAGGAGCATCCTGAATATGTTGAAGAACATCCTGAAACTGAAGATGTACTTTGGTTCCACTTTCAAACCCAATAGTACTTTTACGAGATACTGGTTCCTCGTTGCAAGATCAAACATCAGCGCAACAACAAACCAATAATTCTTCTACTAACTGTAAATACGACTAGTACTCCTAGTACTACCACAGTACTAGTACAGTACTACTAAGACTACTACTAAGACTACTACTAAGACTACTACTAAGACTACTAGTACTCCTTCTCCTCCTCTAAGACTCCAGGCTGTATTCGTGGTCGTCCCAGAGGCCTCGGACGTCCACATCACTCCGAACGGAAAAGGCACCGGTTTCCTTTCGAACGGAGCGAAGCGGAGCGGTGCCGTGCCGAAGTTCCTCCGGTGTCCCAAAGAGAAAAACCGGTGAAAGCGAAGGTTTCCTGCTTTTTTCATGTTTTTGTTCGATGGCGCTGAAGTGATGAAGCTGTTCTTTGACTTGTCCCAAGGTATTTCGACTTGAGGAGGGGTGAACGGAAGGTAGCCGTCATGCATGTAGCATGGGGAACGCAACCAATCATCTGGCAAAGGTATAAATGTCGGGATGATGATGATGATGATGATGATGATGATGACGACGACGACGACAGTTAATGAGAATGATGACGATGACGATGACGATGTGAACCTGAGTCGGAAAGCATTGCCCCACGCTGCGTTAGTAATATTATATCAAGAAGAATTGGTCCCAAAATGGATGCCCAGCTAGCAAACATCATAAGTGCATCTTAGTAAAGTTCCCATTTAACCCTTCAAGTGATCTACTTGATGGTGCAAAGCCCACGTGAGCAAGGCACTGTTACATACGATATGGACTTCTGAAACCTCAGCATCAGTTGTTGGTGCCTGCATTGTGTCAAATGGATTCTAAAACAACGCGCAGATGTTGAAACCCTGTCCCGTTCTCAGTCTTTCTCACACCTGTGGGGTATGATTCAGACCAACAAGGAATGGGCCCTGTTGGCCCCTTTCTTGCTTTTACTACGGGCTCCTGGCATCGCTACTAGGAGCAAGGACGCTACGAACGGGGCTCCTGGCATCGCTACCTGGAACCATGTTCGCTATTAGAAACAAGAAATACATCGAATATATAATATATATATATAACTGTTTGCCTTGAAGACTTCCCACTCCGTGACCGGGTTCCCTGTGCGATGATGGTCTCCAGGAGATCGACCAAGGAGACCGACGATGGACACTAGGAGACCGACCAAGCTACACACCGGGTTCCGAGACCCACATGGCACCGGGTTCGGAGACCCACCTGCACCAGACGAGACGACGATTTTCCGGTACACCTTAGTGGTTTTCGCGTTCCATGGGTGTGTTTTTTTTGGCGGGGCGTCCATGGTGGACTGGTCGGGCTCTATGGTTTTGATCCTTGGATGAGGCTCTGAAGGGGGTTCTCCCATTCGCCAAGTGGCTGTGCTTGTGGTGGTCGTCACCTGATCACACACGCGCGCCTCACGACCGAGAATTCAACGAGCAGTCAATTCCCTGAAACACCAGCGCTTCTAGCTCTGTGACTTCTGTGATGGAGTACCAACCATCCAAACATATCCAAACAAGATGATTCTCCTGTCAGATGGATTGTAGGAATCAAAGGATGCGTTTCATGTAGTTGAGAGAGCAGCCTTCGTTGGCCGCTGCAACCCCTTGGAAGAGCATGGTGGGTCGAGGCAACGGCCTAGAAATTGAAATCAAACGTACAATTATACAACGCCATTAATCCTGCCGATACTCATCATACAGGGGCTGGTAGACCCGTGCCGTTCTACTCCCAAGTGTAAACGGGTGGAAAGGCATGATAAGGTTAACCCATACCAAGCCTATACTTGCATGTTGACAAGCAAACTCGACATAAAATCCTCACTCCTGTGTTACGCCCAAGCACATTCCGTTTTGACAAAGTCACCTGTATCCCGTTAACTTTTGGGAATCACTGCATTGTCATGAGGATTCACTGCCAATCCAAAAATCACAATTCGCTAGCAGCATCTTGACCTATTGAATGCGTTGAACATGTTGATGTGTGTGTGTGTATGCGTTTTTTTTGTCAACATCTTCCACGCATCAGCTTGTTCAACCCACTTCAGTTTCCAACTAGTGGTTCCCAAATAGATAGAAACAGTCTAAACAGTTTCGTATATACATGTTGAAAAAGATTTACTTTTCTATTATTCATAGGCCACTGACTTGTGTTCCATGCCGTTGATCGATACGCTACCCGAAGGTACCCCGTGGTCTCCTCCCCCACATCATCGATCCCGGTGGCCACGGTAAAGGAGCGGGGTATCGGCACCGCCTCGCCTGAGCCACGACCCGAGCGCGTTGTGGGACCGGTGAGGCATGTGGTGGGGCTGATTGGCTGGAGTTGGACCGCTGGAGAAAGGGAAAGGAGGAGGGCGCTTATACTCTACGGATGTCTACGGTGATTTATGGCGATATGTATATCCGCCGACCCCAGCCGATGGATGGGGGAGCGCGCCAGAGGACACTGCCCCATCTGGAGGAAACTGCAGATCTTTTCAGGCAAGATAGCTGTGTTGTTCCAAGTACAGATCTCTTCAGAGCGCCAGTGTCGGAGCGGCCATCAGTAGCAAGATAGCCGCGTTTCTGGGGTGGGATTTGGATATCGGCGGAGTCCGGGTTTGGGCCTCGAGAACGGCGCATGGAAGCGAAGAAGAAGTCAGAAAGCAACGTTTGGCAGTGAGAGAGCAGCTAAATTGTTTACTGCCGTCAGAAAGCAACGTTTGGCAGTCACCGAGCCGCTCTGCGGGCAATTTTCGGGTCAGTTTTGGATTGGAATTCGATGATGGAAAGGCGTGGCGGAGGAGACGGGCGGGAGCCTTGGGAGTGAGTCTGTGTAGCTGTCCGGGAGTAGGGAAAGACGAATGATGGCTGTAAATATAAGATAAGTCTGTTACTGCCGTCAGAAACATACCATACCATAGTTGGGTGGCACCGTCCACCACCTACCACAATAATAAAGAATTATTTTGAGGTGGGTACACCCACCTATTTTTATTAATTCTGAAGGTCCGGACTGCCTAAAATAATGTTCCTTGATTTTCAAGGATCTTGTTAACATCAGACAACTTGGAAAATGGGGGGGTCCTGGTGATTTACCAGGAGATTCATAGCAAGCGTCAAGAGCAAGCCACTAGCTAAATAGTTTGACAAGTTCTTTTTCTGCTGTCATCTGCTGCTTTCTCATTAGCGGCCTACGTGAAGCCATGGTCACTACGATGCGGTTCGTACACATTGTGCTCAACAGGCATGGCTTGATGATGAGGCTTTCGGACCTGCCCGCACGGCACACTCTACCCACGGTATCGCCTCCACAACGTAACCCCCACCTGAGTGCCGTCATCGAGGTAGCCGGAGTTGCACACTCAGCTTCGTCGTCTTGCTTTGAACAACAACCTCCATGCCCTTGACTACCACATAGGGCCATTTCCCTTCAGCTTCGAAACTCGAGAACGCACGTTCACGTTGTTTGCTGAGAAGCGTTGCTGCATCCCCCATGCTGACGGCGAGCCAAACTGGAGGAAGGGAACTGGAGGAAGGGAACTGGGGGAAGGGAACAGTGGGAAGGGAACTGTGGGAAGAAGGGGCCTGTGGAAGGAGAACTGGAGGAAGGAAACTGCGGGAAGGGAACTGGAAGAATGGGATTGGATGAAAAGGACTGTGGGAAGGGAACTGGAAGAATGGGATTGGATGAAAAGGACTGGAGGAAGGGAACTGTGGGAAGGGAACTGGTGGAAGGGAGCTGGAGGAAGGGAACTGTGGGAAGGGAACTGGAGGAAGGGTTTTGGATGAAGGCAACTGTGGGAAGGGAACTGGGGGAAGGGAACTGTGGTAAGGGAACTGGAGGAAGGGAACTGTGGGAAGGGAAGTGCAAAAGGGATCCTATTCACAAAACAATCTTCTGAATCAAAACTTCACCAAACCATCTTGCGAATCCCAAAATTTCACAAAACCATCTTGTAAGTCATAATTCACAAAACCACTTTGTGAATTATAGCAATTCACACAAACCTTACTGTGAATTATCAAAAATGACCCAGCCATCTTGCGAACCTCAAACATGCACAAAGCCATCTTGTGAATCACAATAACTCACAAAACCATTTTGTGACACGAAAACCGGTCGTGGGCTTGGTTTTTTCAATCCCGGATGCTCAGGGTATCTCTACATCATATAAACATATTTATATCTAGGTGTGGACAATACTGCTCTCTCTGCCGACCCCTGCAGCCCGCTTCGTGGGGACGGGCGCTACCAGACACCATGTCGCCCATCCTTTTCACCCAGTCATACCTGAACAACGCAGCCACCAAACCAGACGCCGCGCCCGCGGTGCTTCACTCCCAGTCCAACCTTGCTTCGCACTACCGCTTCCTACCGTGACATTCTTGTGGGACGAGCTCTTGCCACCCCCTCCTGCCGCCTGCACCTCTGTCTTTCACACTCTTCACGACACATTCTTCTCAACCACCTTCGCCTCTGGACACGGCGACCGAAACAAACGCCGTGTCTCCCCTTGCTCTTCCTCCTCCGCCCCCTGCTCCTCCCCCTTCACAACCTCCTCCTCTTCCCTCCTGCTCCACTTGACCATCCTGCGCTGACCTCTGCTTCCGCACTCCTTCCCGGGCTAACTCTGATATAGCTGCACCATTCTACTCTGATCATGATCCTTTTCAAGCTCTGGACTTTTCCATGAAGTTGGTCTCCAATTCTCTTCGGGAGCTGAGGTGTCCAACAAGGTGAATCGTTTAAAGACCACCTTCACCAAAACCCGACCACTTCTGGAGGGTTTGGACCCTGCTTTTTGCAGGGGTTTGGACCCGAACCAAACCTTCACCGGCTGAGGGCCCTTGATTCTTAGGGCAACCAATTATTAGACTCTGACATGATCCAAAAAGAATATATATATATATATAGTCGAAGGTTCTGAATGATTCTGAGGTAGCTTTTTGCTTTGTAACTGTTCTTCCAAGCCAGAACAGTTCGCACTGCAATACCCATGATGTTGGAACACATCTCTGCCGCACTGCAATGTTCTCGTGAGAATGTCAATTCTTTAAAACACGGATACGCAAACAGTCTGGGACTTATCCCTAGGGCTCCTGGCCCATCTCCTCAGAAGGTGGTTAGACCCCGCTGGCACCCACCCCAGTCCCACCTTCTCAGGAGGTAGGCCAGGAGCCCTGGGTTATATAACAGTCGTGATGTGCTCCATGATCTGCGACGGGGTGGCTGATGAGATGTTTCCCCTTACGTACGTACTTCCAACCAGTCGACTGGGACAACAGATCCAGTGCTCTCGAGTTGCTATTGTCTGACCTCCAATTCTCCTCCAAATGAATCCATTGCAGGAGCTCCTGAACAGGGCATGGTGGCTTCGCCAGTAGGTGGCTGGCTTCTCATCCCCTTGGTGTTTATTAGTCCTCTCTCGATCTGCAGGATTGTCTCGAGATCTATCTCCGTAAGAGACAAATGCCGATGTTACTTTTGACTTGCTCAAACTATGTTGCTCTGGGCCCCCCTCATCGAATAAAGAAAAGTTATATAATATAGGTCCAATGGGCTCTGTGCTCAAGTCCTCTTTCAACAAGGGAATCTTAACGTAATCAACTGAAAGAAGCTGGTTAATATCCCCCGTGCCACAATGAAAGCTTTGCATGCTCTCTTTGCCTTTCGACTGCCTCGACCTGCCGGGCTTTGTCCAGTACTTTGATGTCACAGATGCCCAACTGGTGAAGACTGGTGTAGGAAAGCCGCTGTGAAGTGAGTGCGCCCAGTTCTCTGGGGAGCCGCTTAGCTTTGCATGTGCCAGTCGGAGATGTGAGATGCATGGGCTTTTCTTTTTGTTGTTTCTCCGTATGCATCACTGGTGCCAATGGCAGTCGTGGCGCCCCAGTTGCTCGCAGGGAAGGCTGACACCGTTGTGCCGATGGTGGGTTCGTCGCTGAAAGAGGCTGCGAGTAGGCAAAGGTCAAGCACTTCTCACCACGAGGCTCAAAGGTCGAAGAGCAAGCAGCGTCCTCTGCAGGTCCTCTGTTAGGGTCGCATGGTGGCAGAAGAACAGACTCCGCGAAAAGACTCCGCGATGAAATCTCCGTGGCCGTCAAGCACCCCACCCGCAGAAGAATCGTCAATCCGCAGAAACTGGCCTCTTGCAGATTGGCCCCCCACATGGGGGAAACCAATGGGCAGGACGAAGCCAACCAACGCTCTGGTGCTGTCACCGTCGAACATGGGTCGAAGTTTGGCCATAGAGAAGGTTGGGCCCTCGCATCAAGGTGATGTGCCACCCAGATGCTCATGGGCATCGGACCCTCATATGGAGGGGTCTGGGGTTTCTCACCAAATCGCTAGGTTTTGAGGGACCTATCGGGCTTTTCACCGAGCGTCTGGGAAAAAAAAAATACAGGTATGAGGAACTGAGTTTCGATCCCGCTCGCCCAGCTCGCGAGCTCGTCTTCGCTGACTCTCAGCATGTGGGCATCCCCTCATCGGACGTATGTGTTTTTGCTTCGTGAGGCAATGTGTGGATGACATTGGATGACAGTGAGTGTGTGGATCCGATCGGATGAGTGCATCACTGAGAGCTGGATTGACTAACCTGGAAAACCAGTCCCAAGGTGATCGTTGAAGTGAGTTGAGAATCCTCCTTGCACTTTCTGCCATCTGCGTTGGACTCATCTGCCATGAAAACATATGAAAACGTAGCATACAGCCCACATTTGCCTGTGACCTCCGCTTAAGTAAACCATGCCAACAAAGCTTATAAAACCTTCTAAACCTTGCTATAGCTTTGCCCCAAATTCTGCATCAAGCGGCGTGCACCAAGGGAACTAGCCGTTGAAAGAGGGCACCAGCGACAGCCTCACTCCCAAGCCCGGCGGCCACACCTGCACTGTCCCAGTGGTGCTGCCCACATACGCCGCGTTGTCCTCGCTGCGCCGAGTTCACGCTGCTTTTCAGGGAGTGAGGGATCCGTCGTCCCCATCGCAGAGGGATCGTCGTCCCCAGGCTGGGAGCTGGAAGGTTTTACCATATTGATGTTGAGGTATTTGACCCAGTGCATCCCAGTTGCCACTATATAAGGAACCAGGGATTCTAGGTCTATGGTTTCAGTCTTTGGAACCACTGGTTACCAGCTATAGTGGTAACATGGATGCCTTGGGTGAGGTATGTGGGTGTACATAAAATTCACTTCGACCCCATTGAAGAAGGGAAAATATTACAAACACCCATTGGTCGGCGCCTGAGACAGCAGCAAGCTTGAGCAATTTGTCTTTTTTTGGAAAAAGAATGTAAAACACGTCGATGACAGGAGTCCACACCACTTGGATCAAAAGACAGGCACGTTCATAGACAGGCGGCAGGCGCGTGCTTCCTGTGTGGAAAGGACACCTCGAAAAGGAACTGGTCGCTCTATAGAGATGGGCCTTGATGTTTGACCAGTTCTGAGGAATCATGACACCTCATGGACACCTTGAAAACACCAAGGGGTTCAAGGTTTTGACCTATTTCGGGTGTAGGAAAGTTTGCTCGAAATGCACCCGAAGTCGCCCCAACATTGAGACCAATGTGGTTCCAGCCAGGCCTTCATGCACTGGTATGCACAGTATGTCTGGACAAAGAGTTGTCCTTCAACCTCAAACAATTTCAATGGGCAAGGATCTCCATCCAAAAGATCCCCAAAAGTGGTCCAACCACCTGCTGTTCTCAGGACGACGCACGTCTCTGTCTCTGCAGGCTTACGGCGTATAACAGCAGGCTTAAGTCGACCGACCCGATCAAAGAAACCCAAACGGACTCGAACTGGCTGGCCCAAGGACTCCTGCGTCAACCCCCAAAAAGGCTTCCACCGATCCGCCACCACCGCATCCACAGATCCACCAGCACCGCTTCGGTCAGTGCGGTCCAACGACAAGGAGTCTCCCAGCTCACCGACCCCACAAAGGAGACCAGTGGATCCCAGTGAAAATGAGGATGAATGATGTGTGGTTCTTCTTCTTCTCAAGCAAATTCCACCCCAAAACCCACGGCCTCCGTCCGGCGAAACAAAGCGTCTCTTCTCTCGCACTGAGCGCCCCCCACCGTCTCGGGCAGGGCGAAGCCGGTGAGTCCCGGCGGCAAGGCGCTGGTGCTGGCGGACTCGGCGCCGCTCGCCCAGCCTGGACGTGTGGACGCGGGTCACGCGCCGGTCACGCGCCGGTCATGCCGCTCTCCCTATACTGTGTTCTACAAGCACTCTTCGTGTTAAACTCCTCCTCGTCCTGCTCTTCAATCAGCGATTTCTCCACCATTTAGCTCAAAGCCACCCCTTTTTGTCGCCCCCTTTTCGTGGCCCAAAATACTCCTCGTCTCCCCCGAAGTAGCAGTGCCCCAGGTGGGCGGGCTGGGCACACAGTCGCAAGTCAGTCTGGCATGACGCATCCTCCACTATAGACTCTTCCTACCAGACTTTCACCCCCCTGTTCATTGATAGACCTCGACCTGTCCCCACTTCCTCTCGGAACCTTTGCCCCACACCGAACACCCCAAATCAATGACGTCCCAACTTTGCACCTGAGCCATCAAAGTTGATCGCGCACATATAGGTTGGGTTGTCCTGGAGCATTCAACGCACAGCCGGTCTCAACCAAAACACCCGTCGAGTCGTGTGCCATTTGATCGAGAAGTTCTCCAGTGGATAGGTACAACTGCAAAACAATAATGCTTACTGACATCTGGCTCCTTTGGTTGCGGTTTCTGGCTGGGATCCAGCTTGAGAGAAGAGTGAGAGACAAAGGACAAGGACCAGAAATACACTTAAAATACTGTTTGATGCAGCTACCAAGACCATGTTGCTGATGCCAAAGAAATCGTACCGCTCGCCGCTCGCCTTGGAGCCAGAGAAGACGAGGATCTGATCTCCGCTGATGGACAAGGAGAACGTGCCTCTACCGGGGGACAAGAAGGTGTGATGAATACGAGGTTTCCAACGTCAAGTTGCTAAGGGGGTTGGCTAGGGTCCCCAGGGTGGCTACACTTCTGGCTAGCTGGAAAGTGAAGAGGAAACCGCCTGAGTTCATAATCACGAAAGTAATTAGTCTTCCAATGGTCCAACTCGTGACCATGCCATCTGCTTCCATGTGTTCCTCAGACTGTCAGAGTGTAGAGAGTGTAGACCTTGGGCTGAAAAGGTCTTAAATGTACAGGGTCCTTATAAGGAAAGGTGTGCGTGTGTGTGTGTGTGGCGTGTGTTGTGTTCTGTGTTGTTTGTGTGTGTGTTTGTGTGCTGCAAGAGCAAATAACGTGCGGAGGGAAACTCTTGGTCCGTCAAAACAAACACTCCGGGAGGCACGTGCTCATGCAGGAGCATGTCAAAATCAACCAGGCACCACCATCAGTAGATAGCATGCACAAGTCACAAGTCCCGCAGAAAAATCTGTCATTTCGAAACACGAAAAGACTGACTAAAGCAACGTCAAAACATCTCAAACAGGACTCGTCTCTCATCCACTTCCTGTCTTCCTATCTTCCCCCAAGACCCAAGACTCTTCCCCCTGGTACCGTTGCTTCTTTTCCCCCACCCAATACTTTCCACCCCTTGCCTGAGACGCTGCTGAAGTTCTCCAGGCTCAGCACACTTCCTGCCGGCAGCTCCTCCGAGGCCTGACCCACCCCGCGCCGCGCGCCGCGGCCGCATGCGCCCGTCGTGGTCCGCCCAAGGGTGGCTCGGAAGGGCAAGACCGGCGGAACGGTTTCCGTAGCTGCACCCCGTCAACGGGTACCTATAAATGGAGATTGATTGGTCAACCGGATCCTTCAACAGTTTGAAGATGTTCCCAGGTCCTTGTTTACTTGCCCTAGGGCTCCTGGCCCATCTCCTCAGAAGGTGATTAGACCCCCCTGGCACCCACCCAGGTCCCACCTTCTCAGGAGGTAGGCCAGGAGCCCTAGGGTTGGAATCCCGCTGGTTTTGTGCAGAGCCAAGGCATCCACTTGGTTTCGTGGGATGATCGACGCCGCCGTGGCCTGACGGGCGGAGTCCCGTCCCACCGTGCAGATCGAACGTCCAAAAGTGATGAACCCTCCGACCTTATAGGACCCTACAAGGGTACCTATAGGAGAGTCTATAGGGTTCTTCAACCTCTGCTGGCTGGGAGAGTAAGGGATCCTTTCAATCGGTGCCACCAACCGTTTATCGTCCATTGATCATCAATCCATGCTCGAAGTTTTCTGCACTGAGGAAGTGGGGTCAACCTATACATCATCTACTAGACTGTTGTCACCTGGAAAGCCAGGCCCAACCAGAACCAGTTCTGGATGTTTCCCCCGATCCCAGCCATTAAGGTATATAGTATATATAAAGGATCGAAACATGTCCATATTGGAACAACCATGTCTTTCTGGTTCTTCTGGATTCGGAGGCACATCCATCCATCCATCCATCCATCCATCCTTCCTTCCTTCCTTCCATCCTTCCTTCCTTCCTTCCTTTCATCATCAGATCCACCACCGCGCCGCATCCAGGCGCCGTGGACCCGCCTGGAATTGCAAGAGGCCCTCCCCCTCTCGCAGCACGCCGCTGGCCGAGCACCCGCCATCCGTGACGTAGACGCTGCTCTGGGGAGCTAAGGCTTCCAAGAAGAGGAGGCCGAAGTCGTCGGGATTATCCTCGCTGGGTGATGGCGCGATCCTCTAGCTAGCTTGCACCAGGGGGTTGTTGGCCCCAGGCCGGGTATGCCATCAAATCAGGTATGCTTTAAAAAAAATACAAATTCCAGTGTCCACTCGTAAAAAAACACAAATTATAAATAAATCATATGATGAAATCGGACTCAGAACCGCTGGACCTCTGGATCTTTTTCCGCTTCAACCCACCGTCCGACTCCGCTGCCGCCCCAGCTGCTGCATGGAAGCCCACCCGCGCACAGCTGTCGGCACCCAGCTGCTGGGGTGCGACGGTGGTGAAGGCCACGCAGTCGGTGCAGCTGCCGTTCAAGTGCATGCCTGGAAGCTTCAGTCGACTCAGCTAGGTCCGGCTAGGGTTCGGAAGGGGTGTGTGGATCACCTGACACCTGAGACATGCGAAGCTAGGTCCGGCTAGGTCTGGCTAGGGTGCGGACCTAGGTCCGGCTAGGTCGGTTTCAATCGACCGTTCGGGAGGTTCGGGAGGCTATGTTGGATCAGGGAGACTATAGACTCATATATGATATATGTCAAGAAACAAACCTTGTCCATGGATTGTACCACGTGGTTTCAGAGGTGAGAAATGAAAGCAAATCCACCCAAAGATGTCTTACTTCGAGGGTATATGAAACACCTCGGGATTGCATCGAAGCTCATCACTGGACCGGACGCGACCTGAACGCAAGACGCCGGTCCGGTCCTTGGACCTCGTTGGCCCGAACCAGGTCGGTACGGTGAGCCCAGTCGTACCTACCGAACCTGAGAAGGTATAGGGTAGCTGCTGGAGAGGAGCTGTTCTTTTCTTGGATGCCAAGTTACGGTTCTCTTCTTGCTGTTTTTGCGGTTTTGTCGCCTCTCTCTTTGGGAGTCTGTGTACAAATTGCAGCCCAAACAGAAGGAACAAGAGCAACAAAACCCTAGCCTTCTAGGACACATTTATTGTTTCCCCGGTGTTGGAATGTTTTGTAGTGTGAAAATAGTAGTGGCTCTTTGGGATTAATCCGATTATTAAAACCACCTAAAATGGCGGGCAAGAGAAGTCCTAGGGAGACACATGTAAAACTCCCCGTGCAAAGCTCCGGTCCTCTAACTTGTTTGATCCATTCTGTAGAGGTTGATTGGTACAGGGATCGCGCGCCACGTGTTCGAGTCTAGGTGAAAAACGCCACGGCCTTGAATGGCACAGGGATAGTGTTGTAAAATTTGAGGACTGGAATGTGCTGTTTTGTTTTACATGTCAAAGGTGTTGAAACATGTACAGTATGTGTTGTTTGCTCTTTTGTACACGTCACAACATGTCCTCGCCAACCTCCGTCCATGGTCCCTTACCACTTCGAGTGGCACAGCTCCACAGGGTAATGGTCAGAGAGCTCTTTGGCCACCTGCCCGACACAGCGGAGGGACATGGCCGACGGACATTTGGGCATTTGGCCTGCTGCAAAACACATTCATCTGGACAGCTTTGGAAGAAACATTATGAGATTAATTTTAAGTAATAGTAATATATTGATATGCGTTATCATATTAAATATAAATGTGTGTATGACTTTGTATTTACATGCATCATGTGATAAAGACACACCTGCAAATGGATGCAAGCTGGCATATCTGTTGGTCTTCGTACGAAAACGCAGTCCGACTGTGACATGTCTGGTGGTCAAATCCATGGACCAATGGTTGATTGACAAACAATGAACATCAACACGCCAGTCACAGAGCTCGGGGTGAGAGTATCCACTCACTCATGGGGACTAAGGCCCAGCCTGAAGGCGAATTGGGTGGATATGGAAACAGGGAGGACCCTCCGGTGTCGCCACCACACCAGACCCCTCGAGGTCAAGGCTGACCGGCTAAGACCCAAGCCGGCGCCGGGATCGACCGATGTTCAAGCAGGTGATCTTCCCCGATCTATTAAGCAGTCAGCATTTGGCCACGGAGATTGGCCAAGTCAGGCCAAGAAATGTCTAACTTGGTTGCTTTGAGCCCCTTTGTGTGTGACAATATGTGGCACCACAAGTCTGTGGAGTTTATTTTGAACTCAACGAAGCATGGTGACACCCGTGGATTTTGCAGCTCCTTCCCAGGCTTCTGCGCTACTGGAAGTCCTTTGCTGGAATACAAGTGCCACTTCGCCTCATGCCACTCCACAGTGCTGCTGCTGCAAATGTCGCTGGAGATGTAGTCCTGGGCGCAGCCTTCTGCTAGGACTCCTGTTGAAGCGGACAAGCGAAAAGAAGCGGTGCATGGAGTGCATGGAAAGCTTTGAGGGGTTTCCCTAATACATCTTCACGGACCACGAATCAGCTCCGTAACCTTCCCCCTATAAGCTCCAACACTAGCGCCAACATTCCTCAACTCCCTCAAAAACTCATGGCCCAGGCTAACGCCAGGCGATTACATCCTCCACTCATCGCGACTGGTGAAACGCGCGAGCGCCGCAGCGATGTCCTGAGAGGTTCAAATGATCTTCCAACTTGTAGACAGCACAGCCCGAGGCCTCTGGGGCGACACCACGGCAGGGGAGGTAGGTGCATGGTGTAGGCGGTGTAGGTGGGTGGCCATGTCGAGTCGTTTTGGGTTTGGGTGTTTTCATTTTCATGAACCCACAGAGGGAAGAGGGAACAGTGCAAGCAACAAAGAACACATGGCCTGACAATTGATGTTATTCTTATTCTTGCATGGTGCTTGTTGGTTCTTGAGTCCTTGATTATTACGCTGCAAAACAACTGTGCTCTAGTCGTAAGGCCTTCCGCTCTTTCCTCCTCCGTCCACAAATGACTCGGCTCGACTCGTCGACTCGTCAGACCTCCATGGCAGAGCTCACGATGATGCGGTCCTTGGCACGAGACGTCCAGACATGGACAGGCACCGAAGAGGTGTCGTGTTGCCCCAGTTGATGGAAGGCCGCTGCGCAAGGTTGAGAGGTCCATCTCCATCTGCAGGTCTCTATGAATCAACCGTTTCCATGATAAATGACTCCGCAGCTTGACGTCCGACGTGGACGTCACGTTTTTGGAGGCGTCGACGAGCTAGCAACTATGTAGCAACCAATGAAATCCGATGCTTGATGAAACAGGAAGCATTTCAGGTGCAATCTGCACTGGTCCCCAAATCCCTGTGAATGGTCCAGATCTTATAAGAAGCTATTAGGTTGGAAGCCATTACTACTAGGTTGGAGGCCATCGCTACTAGGGCGGAGGCCATGACATGCCATGACTACTGACTAGGGTGGAGGCCATGACATGCCATGACTACTAGGGTGGGGGCCATGACATGCCATGACTACTAGGGTGGAGGCCATGACATGCCAT